TCGCAAGGTTCGAATGAGATATGCAAGAGGGTAAGGTCCTTTAGCCCTCCTAACTTTGAAGACATTGACGGCACTGCGCGTGTCGATGAAAGGAACTGCGGGCCCAGGCGAAAGTGGCTGACAGGACGGCTTTGTTGACACGTATTGACAGTAATTCCGAACCAGTCTCACCGCATGATGGAGCATATCTTCCGTCACCCCCTTACTGCCGCACACAAATCGCAAGCTTTTTGCTTGCATGATTTCTTGGACGACCCACACTCTTTTCCAGTAAGGTCTGTTGAAAAAGCTGGCCAGCGCCGATTGAACACCATCAATATCCCCAGCTGATGGTGACAGGTCCCTCGACAGTTGTTGTAGGAATTCTCGCATTCCTTGGCCAGGGAGCGATTCAGGCTCGCTTTCGAGTCGGTGTAGCAGAGCTTGTAGACGGAGTTCCGGCTTATTGCCAATTCCGAATCGATATGCTCGGGATCCATGGTGCCAAATCCAACTCATCGCCGCGTCACTGTTCTCACTAGCCGGGCCGAGCCAGGTGATGACTGAAGTTGCGTGCTGGTAGATGTCCCCCATTTGTGCGACTTGCTCCGTCTTTTCGATTTCGTCCAACTGGTTTATGCACAAAGCGTCAATCCAAAGCGTGAGAGGCTCAGTCTCTGGGGTTAAGTGTAGGAGAGCAGAGTGGAGATTGGTGGTAACGTCGTGTAAACTGTTGTCCATCAAGATCTGAGATTTGACTCTGGCATCTCCCCAGGCGTAAGATAATGCATGGTACGATGGCCGTCGATCTAATGATGTATAAGAGATTGTGCAGACTGGTGTTTGGGAGGCCCCATTGTCAGGAAAGGTTTCCGCAGAGGCTCGTGGAAGAAGATGGATGATACGGATCCTTTTCCCTTGTGGTTTAAGTGCTCTATAAGGAGAAGAGGACATCGCAGTCCTGTGAAGAGAGTCCGGGAATATTTTCAATGATGCTTGTCTTCTCCTGTGGTGTGAATACTTGAGAGGACCACGAACACTGTTGAGGATGGTTCAGCTGTAAAAGCTCGCGTGGGGAAACTTGCGTGGAACAAAGGCTGGGATTGACCCTGAATTTGGATCTGGTGCTCGGACAGAAAAATGTCTGGGAAGAGCATTCACTGCTTCGTAATTAGATACCAGGTACGAACCATGTAAAGCATGATAGGTCAGTTGTTACTCATTCCATCCTCCCGCCAATCCATTACCAAAACCAGCCCAATTCATATATCATGAACGCTTTTGGAGTCTCATTTGTGATTAAGCAAACGGTTGGTTGGTTTACTCACCGGAGCTGTGAGATGCCGCCCTTCTTTGTGCGTTGAAACATCAATCCCATCGGCACATTTCTTTGTCTTTCCTTACTCAAAATTGCTCCTCCTCATGCTTTCGATTCTTCTCTGGGTTCCATTTCCAAGTCGCCCGGCCCGGCAGTCCAAAACTTAGTCGCTGCTCATATTTGATATGAACAAGATGACACGTTCGGGACACTTGGAAAGAGGGTACAAGGTGAATGAACAGCCCTTAGCCTGTGACTTGGCACAGCTCCGGCCTGTAGTGATTTCTAACTGTTTCTCAGGCTGCCATAGATATCCTCAATGCCCAGCGTCGCCCAAAACGGCCTGAACAACTGGCAATCCAAGCAGGCACGTTCGGCGAGGCGGAACATCCGCCAGAAACCCCGGGGTTAAGAGGAGTTCCCGGTATTCAGGGTATGAAGAAATGGTTGCAGCAGATAGGCTACACGGTCAGTAATCATTTTTCCACCTGACGGCCCTAGCCGCTCCATCAAATCATCAAGATCTCGTGGTTGATCTTTCAGGGTCCAGACCGCCGACATTGACAATCTCAACATCATCCACGTGGCTGGGACTAAAGGAAAGGGAAGCACATGCGCCTGGGCCGAATCATTCCTGAGAGCACATAGTATGAGGACAGGGTTCCCGAAAAGGACAGGCCTGTATACGTCACCGCATCTGATTTCCCCCGAGGAAAGGATTCGCGTCAATTTCAAGCCATTGTCTCCGGACAAGTTTGCCCGGTACTTTTTCGATGTCTGGGATCGACTGTCTGGAAGCGACGCAAACATCGGCACGCGACCTAGATATCTCCAACTGCTGCTCTTGGTATCTTTCCACGCCTTCATCTGCGAGGGAGTCGAAGCAGCTATCATCGAAACACACCACGGAGGAGAGTACGACTCCACGAACGTGATCGAAAACCCTGTGACCACAGTTATTACCCCTCTCGGCATTGATCATATCCAACAGCTGGGGCCAACGATTGAGAATATAGCCTGGCACAAGGCTGGGATATTCAAGCGTGGCGCGCTTGCCCTGTCAGCTCCACAGGATCGAGATGTCACTGTAGAAGTCCTACTCCGCCGGGCAGCGGCAAAAGGCGTGCCTCTTCATTTCGTGGCAGTAGACGAGAAGGTGCTCCCGGTGAACTCGCCCCGTCTCAAGCCTGCCGTCCAGATGGTCAATTGCTCGGTCGCATTCGCTGCTGCAAGCGAACTGATCAGGGACAGGTCGCCACCCAATGGCTCAAGGGCAGGATCCATGACCGAGGACGATATCCGAATAGCGGTGGATGGCTTTAGCTGGCCGGGTCGATTCCAGTGTATCGTCGAGGGGCATCACAACTGGTACCTCGACAGCGCGCACAATGAAATGAGTGTCAGTAAAGCGGCCGAATGGTTCATGGAAGAGGTTTCAGAAAAGCCCTCCGAAGGCCCAACGAGGATGGATAAGCGAGCTCTGGTATTTGGGCAGATTTCAAGTCACCGAGATGCAATTTCGGTTTTGAATAGACTGGCAGTCTGCTTTAAGGCGATTCGGTTCGACGTGGTTATTTTTGCCACGTGGAACTCAGGCAATGACAAAGCAAATGTCACTGACGCAAAAGGTACACTCGCGTGTTGTTGGTGTAGTATCGCACATTACGGACAGCTAATACGATTGCACAGGCACAGAGGTCACGAAGACTGAGCTACTAAGACGTTTTGAGCGTACATGGCAAAAGCATTTCCCTGGCTCTAATACAATTCAGACCTCGAGTGTGCAGCAAGCTTTGACGACGGTGAGGAATTTGTCTACAGGAACTGAGGGGCGCACACATTCTCTTATCACCGGAAGTCAACTCTTAGTTGGACAGGCACTTTCTATCCTACAGAAGTAAACAAGAGAGCCAACACGCAATAGAGATATCTGAAATACGATCTCGATCCTTTAGAGCGGTTACCGCAGGAAAGTCTCGATAGGTTGCTGTTCATTCGTCCCCGCTCGTCCCCCACCACCACAGAGGGGCCACAGAGTAGTATCGTCGACACGAAGTACATCTCGGCCAACGAGTGCCAAACCAACCCCAGGAATTCAACAAGGCGCACTTTTCTGTATCGTAAAATTCTCTCGTACAACAAGATCCTATTGACATCCATTACCGAAAGCTATTTGGATCTGGCAGACATCAAAGACTTCCTGAATCAGTAAACCCAAAATACGTTGAGTTTGCCCTCGTGACGTGATGAGAAGGGTACAAGGCCACACAATTTTGACACCTACTGATCGAATTTACCAGGCGGTATAGATGAATCTCAGAGGCAGGTCAGTCGTGGTGGAGATCCACTTTTTTGCCCCGGGGAATGTGTCCGCCAACATCCACACCGCATCGAATAGCTCCAGCGCTGAAGGTGTTAGTTCATAATCATAGACACCTTCTCTAATATCACGCAATTTACCTTGGGCAAACTTGGGTCCGTATCCCAGTACCTGGGCGCGTGCGATGAATTCCTCCCTGGCCGACGAACGATCTGTCCACCTCGACGCAGAGTTCTTTTCTTCTCCATCCGTTGGCAGGAAGCGGAAGGGTAGATAACCCAACATGTTCGCGAAGGGGGAGTTGTACGGATAGTGACCACCTCGGTTAGATGTCTGATCAATACTGAAAATGACCTCTCGGACCCGCATCTCGATGGCATTGTGCTTGCCGTCGACGAATTTCTGAAGTTTCTGGAGGACTTGACGAGGTGGGATCTTCAGGGTCAGATGGAATGTGTTCTCGGCGTAGTACACACCGAGTGCCTCGCTCCGGATCTGCATGTTTGTGCGAAGAAGGGGAACATCGGGCTGCTTCAGAGATGTTATGAACGGGCGATGGCGTAAGATAAGTTGATAGATCATGTTGCGAATTTTGGGCGGGAGCAAGAGAAACGGGAAGCCTCTCTAATAGCGGAATAATCAGTAAAATAGTCAAAATCGTAGAAGTTGTGTTGGATGTGACGAGGCAAACCTTTTCCTGTCCCTCTTGGGCTGTGATGACAGCTCGGGAATGTCGAAGTCGAGTCATCTCGACGGTTCGGATGCACCCAGAGTGTAATTTGATGTACAGCTTGTCTCGGACCTGGGTAGCTGTTGCTGTCATGAAAGTGGCCAAACGAAATCCCACCTCGAACGTTCTCAGATTTGTGAGAGTGGCTTTTTATAAAGTATCCCTCCCGGAAAAGATGCTAGGCCTCGGTGGCAGTTGTTTCAGTTCATTGAGGCGAGGTAAGCTGTGGTTTTGTTAAGCTGTTCCAAATTCAAGTTCGAAACCGTGTCCATTCAGGCTGCCTCCAAAAGCAGACCACCATACCGGCATTGTCAATGTTAGTTTGTGACGGCCTATTTGTCAAGCGAATACAAGGCTCTGGTTGTGAGCCGGTCTCTTAACGCACATGTCATGATTTCTTAGTACTTCGCTAAGAAATTAGATTTTCTCGTAATGGTCAGCTCCCCAGACCTTCAAGCTCTGGTTGTGTTCTGTGTGTTAGCTCCAGTCCAGGAGCTATCTCGGCGCCGGCCCGCCCCAGTTCAGTTCGCTGTGACAGGGCACCATCCTGATGGGGATATCCAACAAGTCGACTTTACTAGCACTAGTCTAGCACCAAGTAGTACCCAACACTGGATCTGGTCAATATGAGTCAAAGCTCGAACCCCGTGTCGGTTCGGTTGGCCCAATGGTAAGGCGCCTTGGGTGGTTGGTGGCAGCACGAGGAGATGGAGGTTCGACCCCTCCACTGAACCATACATTGAGCCCTTATTCTTTTTTTCTGCATTCCCCTCTGTCATACCTGTCTACTTAATGGTGCAACTCAGCAGACGCCTTCACCCTACGACAGCTCAGACGGCATCGATGGCGTTACGACGTTTGGGGGGAAAGACAAAGAAAGAAGAACTTGTCTGTAGTCAAGGCGTGCTGGGCAGGCAAGGCAGGGCCGTTGGCACATTGGCACCTTTGGGGCCAGAAGCCAAGCATTTAGTCTGCATTCGCCAACTTTCGTGCCCATTCCTGGCGACGACAAGCCCAGAATGTCGTAAAGTCGACCGGAAGTCAAGATCAGAAGCAGGCGATGTTGCGTGGCAGGGAAGTGTTGGCATGTTTCCGGCCGGAGGACGGCGTGGTGGTTGGACTACTGAGCCCTACTGAACACAGGTGCATTTGGGAATGCCAGAGGTGATGGGGTGGTAGTGATTGCAGTAGCCTTCACCATGCCCTCAGGTCATCCATGATTGGCAACGTATCTGTTTGAAATGGAACTTTATTGCACTATTCCGAAGAGTGGGAAGAAAACACGAACATCCATCATCAAGAGGGTACCAAGTTACTAAAAGCCACTTCCAACTAAGAATGTACAGTGCGCTTCCTGCCCCGTTTCTCCCTACCAACCATGATCTTATGAAGACCTTCCATGTGACGAATGTAGTGGTCACGGCGCGCAAACCCCGTTTTCGCCTTGGGACAGCCACCGACAGGGCACATGATTCTCCCGCGGTCGTCCAAGCCCTGGCTGTGTATGGATCGGATGTGGCGATCAATGTCCTTTTGAGACGTGGCGGTGATCTTGCAGCCCTGCTGTGGGCAGGAGAAACGGCGGTAGGACTTGTAATGGGGAGGGCTGCTTTCATGATATATGTAAGCCCGGCCAACCAGTAGATGCTGAGGAAGCACTTACAGGTCGTCCTTCGAAGAGGGGGACGAGGTAGCCACTGCTTCTGCAGGGTCAAATTTCCCAGGTATGTTGTCCACCTGGGGACCATTGTTCCCAGTGATGATACCCTGATGATGACCCCCAACTTCGATCGCCGTCAATGCGTACGGGTTCTGAAAAGGGGTATCTGGACTTGGACTAGGTTGGCTGATATCCACGGAGAACTTCGGTTTCCTGGCGCCTTCGAGGCCCTCTCCTGTTGTATACACATGGCTGTTGATATTGGGACATGAATCCGTGACGGCGCCGAAGACTGCTGTCTCCATTTCCTTGTGATGAAGGGGCACCTTTGGTCCAATACCCATCCCACTGGAAGCGTCCATGCCGATAGTTTCTCCATAGAAATCTATTCCAGCATCACCACGTATCTGTGGAATGGAGAGGTTAGTTGCCGGGATCTTGCAACTGGAATTATATGGAGGCTGGCACTGCTGAGCTTGGTGTCAGTTCGTGTCCGTAGGATTCACTCAAAGTTAGCGGTTGCACACGCACCAAGTAGCCGCCCAGGCTGTCCTGGCTGAAGTTGCTCCAGGAGTCGTCCCAGGACATTAGTGAGGAAGGCCCCTCTTGGATTTGCCCAAACAGGTTCCAAGATTGTGAGCTGTTGCATGGCCAAAGACCGCCTGGAGGGGTGAGCGGGGCGGTATTGGTGATGGGATTGAACAGCATTTCATTCTCGAGATCTTTGTTCAAGGACTGGGGTAATTTCAGCATAAATTAAATGAGATTGTCCCATTACTATGGAGTTGACAAGTACTTACCAGACCCGTAGGAGGGAAAACGTCCAAGAAGTGACATTCCCGCCCCAGGGCCTGGTTTGTACGGCTATAATCTTCTTGAACCAACAGAGGTCCGCTCGCAACGAACGGCTCTTGTCCATGAAGTTGCATCAGCTCAGCGCCTGCGCGAGGCATTGAAGCTGGCACAGCCGGGGAAGAACAAACCAGGTTGCCTGAAGACGGGAATGACACCATGGAGGGAGGGGACCGCAGGTTGAAGTGATCAGGGAAACTCTTCACAGGTGCACCATTGGCTTCCGAGATACTGGTTCTCCCAAACCAGTACTCATCAGCTGTCTGATGCGATTGTGAATAGTTCCCCTGGCCACTATCAACCTTGGTCCCTCCCGACATGGTTTCACCCATCAACAGCAACCTGAGCTCGTCTTGCACCAGTGCGCAGCGACAATCTCGGCAATGCTTTCCTCTCTTTCCCAAATCCATCACTTTGTATCTCGAGTCCTCCTGGTCGTGTAAGAGGTCAGTAGAATGGTCGAAAGTGATCGGGTTGTTGTTGGTCTCGCCCTCTTGGTTTCGGTACGATAGACGTATGGAAGGCCGCCGGTAGGTGTGTTGGATTCTATGAATATGTGGCTGCTTTGTCAGTGCCTCTTCGAGATGCTTCTTCGCAACAGAACAAATAATGTCGATCTGGTCCAGCCCTTGGGTGGTGGATTTGTTGATTTCCAGCAAACCCTAGATGAGTGCTGAATCCTCGAGATAAATGTTGATTGTCGCTTTGGAAATAGTCGATATTGCCCTCCTCCACTTCTTCTGCAGAATCTGACAGAATCACAGTTCGAACTGACTTCAATAGGGACGCATTTGATATGCCGGCCTACTGGGAGATGAAGTATGATCGATACGTGATTCTGTTCTTCTGCTTACTAGTCTGTAATAAGGGTACCTATGGAATAAAGTCTCAATATGCTGGTGTTTATTCCCGCCTTTGCGGGGTTGTCTGGCCCACAGACACGTGTGGTCCTTTTTCGGTCGTGTAGCTGCGCGGCGTAAATGTATAATAGCTTTTTAAGGTTTGTTGGCTGGCGAAAATTGGGCGTCTTCCTCTCTTCAAATTGGGTTCCGAAGACCACCTTAAATATCAAGCGATCACATGCAGTTACATCAGCACACCCTTCTAACGGGCTGAAAAAAGGCCTTTCTCACTGCATGTTCCAGCGCCTCATGCGTATTCCCGCCAATAAGGATATGGGGCCATTCTTGGGGTGTCACAGGGTTATGTGAGGCCATCTGTGAGGCCAAAACTATGTCCGTCATCCGCTAGGAAGGGGGCCAGCCCACCTAGAGCAAGGCCAAAGAATTACAATTTGTAGGCCCAGGAAACCATCAGAAGGGAATTCTGTGGCTGCTCGGCGGTGGTGACTAGCCTTGACCTTCTCACGGCAGGTTCCGCTCGTGGCTGGGCAGCTGGGTTGTGAAAGCCTTAAGGCTGGCAACCTGATGTGGTGATACCATGAGGACGGCACGCTGTATGGGGAAAAAGTGAGCGATTGGCGTTCTGCCAACAGCTGCAAGCACTCAGCCTCCTCCCCCCCCCCTCTTTTGCCTATGTAGGGCCAATTGACACGTTGGTGGGACGACAACGCGGTAAATCTGAGTCTTGGCTGTAGCCTGTCGCAATCGGAACCAGGAAACTTGCCGAGTGCTGTATCGCCAACAACAATCCTGCTGCCATAGTAATTATGCCCCGAAACGGACGGATACCTTGCACTCACAATTTTGCATAAATGTTCAAATGCAAATTGAAATGACATTTTACTATGTGGGCGGTGTTTGGCTCAATGCGTTCGTCAATACGTATACGGCCCCGACTTATACGGTTGATACGAAAAGCAAAGGGCACATGCGTTAGTGAGGGCGGCATAATGGAAAGCTCACTGAACCCGGCAAATACCCGAGGTGACGTAAGTCGGGGCCAGATGACAGCTGTAGCTCTGCCGGCCGGGGGGGGGGCAATGGTGCTCGAGCCTCGGGAGCTCCTGCAAGATGACCAGGCCCGCCCGTGTGCAATAGGGAGAGGCGAGGTTACATCAATCTCGGTGTCGTCTGGACTTCTGGGGAGCGCACTGGAGAGCTTGTACCTATTTCTGGCCACTGTCGACACATCAACCCATCATTAATAAAACAGAAAGGAGTCGTCGTCCTGTCTCCTTATCTTGGATGGCTCTGCAATTTGTGCCAAGAAGAGGATGATTCAAACACTTGGCTTCCTTTCTGTCTCTCTACTCTTGTCGCACACAGCATCATTCTCCTGCATAACCTACGAACTTTGTTGACTCGGGCTATTATCAAGGTTCCGGTGGAAACCTTCGTCTGCGCCTTACTTATTGCTTGCTTGCTGTTGCTGCTGCTATAGTCGACTCTCACAACACATCCTGCGCATGATCTCCACCGTTTCACGACCGCGTTGACAGCTCGAAAGCTCCCTTGCTTGCCCCCCCGAGACCTGGCGGCGATCAACCGTTGTTGTCTCGGCACGCCGGCCGTTGTCCTGGCTGAACATGGCTTCCTCGGCAGAGATCCACGACCCCAACGACGGCATCCTGCGGCCGCGCCCGCGCAAGCCCGTCCATTCGCAGCTCTCCCAGCTGACATCGAGCACCTCGGTCAGTACCAGCGGGTATCTGGACCACAATGAGACCGGTACAACCACCGGCCAGACAAGGTGTGCAAGCAGCTTGCCCCGACCCGATCCAGCTACACAGACTACAAGACACACCCTCACCCTTCCCTCTCCTTGTGGCAGTGCGACGTTCACAGCTAACCAGAACGCCTTCTCTGAACAGCGGCCGATCAACGCCCGTCCCAGCCGATGCCCTACCCTCAGTCAAGGTCCTGTCGAGCGCCCGCAGGCAGGCCCGCGCCGAGCAGAAGCGGAGGATCTTCCCGACCATCGAGTTCGCCAGCCGGGTGTCGCACTTTGACCCCAACTCCGACTACCGCGACTTCCATGGCTTCTTCAACCTCTTCTGGGTCGGCCTGTTCATCATGGGCATCACGTCCATGCTGCGCAACCTCAAGGAGACGGGGTGGCCCTTCCGCGTGCAGATCTGGACCCTCTTCACGATCAAGTGGTGGCACCTGGGCCTGGCCGACTTCGCCATGGTGGCCAGCGCCTCGCTCGTGTACCCGCTGCAGCTATACGTCAGGAAGCAGAAGGCCGGGGGCGCCATGACGTGGGCAAAGGGGGGCATGGCCGTCCAGAGCATATACCAGGTCGGCTGGATGGCGTTCT